CAAAAGCTGAGGTTACGACCTCTGATCTGTGATGCGACCGAGGTGAGCACGGCTGCGGGACCAAGACTGGCAAACACGCTGGTGGACAGCGGGCATGGTAGTCCACATACGGTGTGGGCATTGGAGAAGGAACCCTTAGATAAGGAATCCAGGGTCTGGAAGACGGTGGAACTCCACTCGTGGATCGGCCATGGATATGACCGCCGCCCTCACTGGAAAGGGATCCAGGGTCTGGCGCCTCCTGGCCACACTCCTTCACGAACGCCTCCACCGTGTCGAACCACGCCTGCAACAGCTGAGTGCGCAACGAAACCGCTGGGTCTTCATCCCCGAGCCACACAGATAGGCGACGAGCCCAGGGGGGAAATGAGAAGGAGAAGGCCTTCTCAGAAGGCCGCGGGACTTCTTAGAAGTCCGGGGGACTTCTGAGAGGTCTCCTTAGCCTATTTCGAACACAGACTGAACTTCTCAGAATCCCTCTCAGAAGTCCAGAAACTTCTCAGAAGCCTCGGAAGTCCCGCCCCTTCTCATTTCCCCCCCGCGCCCGCCGCCGAACAGAAGATGTCGTTGTCAGGCACAGCCCAGGCCCTTTTGCCTGCCACGGGGGCGGCGGCGGCTCGCTGTCGCAGGACGGCGATTGGTGGAGGGAGGGGCCCCCACCACAGGACAGGGAGCCCGCAGGAGGACTGGGGAAGAGCTCCTTGGAGGAAACGCCCCTTGGAGGAGGAAGGAGAAGGAGGAGGAGGAGCAGGAGGAGCAGGAGGAGAAGAAGAATCTAGGGGGCGAGGAGGAGGAGAATAACAAGGAGGCAGAGGAGTTGGAGTTGGAGTTGGAGTTGGAGTTGGAGGAGGAGGAGGAGGAGGAGGAGGAGGAGGAGGAGGAGGAGAGGGTGCAGGAGGTGGTGGATGAACACGAGGGTTACACTTGACCGCAGAGTTTCCGCCAGCTTCCGTCCCAGGGTCCCTACGGCTCGCCCCCTCGGCGCTCAGGGCCCGCCTCCTCCGCCATTCAAGGGGGCCCCGGGACACACAAATAAATACACACAAATAACAGGATTCCCCATATGTTCCTATATTTTCTGGGTTTCTGTCTTCCCCCCCACTTCCCATATTTTCCCAGATTTTCTGGGGGAATCGCCGATTAATTGTGTCTGTGTGTTTCTTTCCCTCCTCCACCATGGGGCCCCCCTCGCGCTGAAGGACGACAGCTCATCGCGGCGGCGGAGCGATGCCGGCGCGCTCGGCACAGCCCGAGCCGCGAGCTCCCCCGGGGCACACGATCATGGTGAGGGCTGTCTGTGCATATCCCAAGGCCTCCCCACCTCCTCTGCCCCGAGTCTCCCTCACATTGGGCCTCTTCTGCCTCCCCTTTCTTGCCGAGCCGCGCCAAAGCGGGAGAGCAGATGCCCGCGCCCTGGCTGACAGGCGATATCTACAGATAGAGGGGAAGAGGGAAGAGGGAAAACAAATTGCCTTAAACAAACTGGGCTTGTGCGCACAGCCCCGTGAATGCTCAGGGGGTGTTGAAGCTGTGCCGGCGTCCTGGAAAAGCGCCGGAGAAACGTTGGGCCAGTGCGAGATCTGTACAAGAGGGCCTCGCCTGCGATGGCCGAGGATGGATGCTCTCGGAAACTTCTGGCTCTTTTCGGACCTCTGGAGGCCTCCAGGCCAAAGGCCCACTGTTCGTATTCCATCTCCTTCTCCTCCTCCTCCTCCTCCTCCTCCTCCTCGTCACCACCACCATCATCAGCATCATCATCACCACCACCACCAGCATCACCATCATCAGTATCATCATCATCATCATCATCATCATCATCATCATCATCATCATCATCAGCAGCAGCAGCAGCAGCAGCAGCAGCAGCATCGTCATCGTCATCATCATCATCATCATCATCAGCATCATCATCATCATCATCATCAGCAGCAGTATCATCGTCATCAGCATCATCATCATCAACCTAATCACCATCGACAACAACACTATCACCATCAGTATCACCATCATCATCGTTATGTCAGCATCATCATCACCGACATCCGCATCATCAGTATCATCTTCGTTATCAACCGCAAAATCAGCATCAGCAGCATCATCATCATCACCATTGGCATCAGCATCATCCTCATCCCAATCGTCATCCTCATCATCAGCATCAGCAGCAGCATCATCATCAGCAGCAGCATCATCAACATCATCCGCATCATCATCATCATCATCATCATCCGCATCATCATCATCATCATCATCATCATCATCATCATCAGCATACTCATCATCAGCAGCAGCATACTCATCATCAGCAGCAGCATCATCATCAGCATCAGCATCAGCATCATCATCATCAGCACCATCATTATCATCATCCTTCGCTTCCTCCTCCTCGTCGCCGAGGCGTGAATTCCGGGCTTCGTGTGGAACGCCAGCAGGCGGCCGGCGGTCCCGCGATAATGTCGTAGCACCCCGCATTTGCACCCGCATTTGCAGATAAAGAGTGAGGGAGCGGCGGCGGTGGCGAAGCCTGCGCCTGGGTGTGCGGGGATGTGCCGCCCCCAAGTATCGCCCCCAAGTATGGCCTCCATGTATCGCCCCCATGTGCACGTCGTTCATTTCTAATCGTGCTCATATCTAGTTGTGCTCGTTTCTGATTGTTCCTGGCCCCCTGGTGGCCAGGAAGAGGCCCAGGGCAGAACAATCAGAAATGAAAGGATCTTGGCCCCCCAAAAAGTCAATGAACCCTCGAAGAATCAGAAACGAGCAGTATGTATCGCCCCCGTGTCTCGCCCTCGGAAATGGAGCCCTCCCCACCAGCCACGCGCGCGCAGGGAAGAAGTCAGACCGCTCGGGCCCCCTCGCTCTGATCCTCCTCCTCCTCCCCCTCCTCCTCCCCCTCCTCCTCCCCCTCCTCCTCCCCCTCCTCCTCCCCCTCCTCCTCCTCCCCCTCCCCCTCCTCCTCCTCCTCCTCCCCCTCCTCCTCCCCCTCCTCCTCCTCTGCGTAGATCGGCCAATGATCGGGCCCTCGTTCGCGCCTGCCCCTCCCCCCCCGGTGTGCCCCGCGCTGGAGGCCAGCGCTGTCCTCGGGCCCCCGAGGGCGGCAGGCCAGCCCCGGGGAGGGGGCTGGGCCTTCGGAGGGCCCGCGGGCGACGAGAGATACTCGGCGGCGGGCAAGGGGATAGGAGAGCTCCAAACAATACACCACCACCAGCCCAGGCCAGGCCCGTCGTGGGCCCTGGACTGGTGTACAGGCCCTCCTGGCCTAGGCCTGGAGGCCTATACACCGGTCCAGGGCCCAGGATGGACCTGGCCAGAGCTGGTGGTGGTATTGTTGGCGTCCCTCCGAGGGGAGGGGAAGATTTTTTGCTTTTCTTGTTCACTGGGCCGTTCCCTGGCCTTCTCACTTCCCCTCCCTGGGCGAGGGGAGGGGAAGTGGGGAGGGCCAGGGAAGGGGCGGGTACTTCTGAGTGTCCGCGGGTGACGGGAAAACTTTGCGGCGGCGAGCGACGGGAGGGGGAACCTTCGGGTTCGGGGTCTGGGGTTTTCGGGCGATTTCGTCGTTTCTTGGCGGCTTTCCAGCCTCGGGATGCTTGCCATCAGCTGCGCCTCACCGAGGGCGTTCTGGGGGCGCCCGGATCGTCCCGAACGGCCGCCGGAGACCCGAGTTAAGATCCCAAGGGCCGGCTTCTCGCCCTGAGTCGTTTTTTGACGGCCCCGAGGCCCAGCGAGGGCCCCCGGAGGCCGAAACTAGTCCAAACCGGCCGCTCCAATTTTCTGGAGCGTCGGATCTCTGGGATGAGCCCCGATCTTTGGGGTGCATTTTGTTACCGAAGGGGCCCTGGGACACACAAATAAATACACACACAAATAACAGGATTCCCCATATGTTCTTGATTTCTTGTCTTCCCCCCCACCTCCCATATCCTCCCATACTTCCAGGCGCATCGACGATGCATTGTGTCTGTGTGCTTCTGTTCCCTCCTGCAGATCTCTGGGAGACGATCCCCGATCTCTGGGGGGTGCCCTGTGTGACCCCCGCCCGCGCAGAGCCGCCCAATGCTGTGCTTCGAGGCCGCCCGGGGGGCGCCGGCCCGCCGCCGAGGAGCGGGGCGGGGGGCAGAAAGCTTCGCGAGCCAGCGAGGGCGAGGCCTTCGTGGCCGGAGCCGGCCATGCGCGCGGGAAGCTCAGCTGCCCCAACAGGCAGCACGCGTCCGAGGTCCTCGGGCTGTCTGGGGTTCTCGTGTGTTCTTTGGGGATTTCTCGCTTCGGGGTGCTCTCCAGCAGCTGCGCCTCGTCGAGGGCTTTCCAGGGGTGCCCAGATCGTCCCGAACGGCCGCCGGAGGCCCAAGCCGACCCAAGCTTAGCTTAGCTGCCCCGATGCGCAGCACGCAACACGTATCGTATCGATACGGAGCTCAACACGTAGGCTGAAAACGCAGGTCCGACGCGATACACTCGCCAAAACGTGGTCCAATACGTGGAGCCAACACGCAACGTATTGACACGGACGTCTTGAACACGGGACGCATTGCGTTTCAGAACGGGCGTATCGAGGCAACTGAGCACGGGAAGGGATCCCCCTCTCACCGGAGGCCTCCCAAAGGGGCCACGGTTCGGAAACAGGTCGTGCAGTCGGACCTGGGACAGAAGAGCATCCCTCGAGAACACGAGAGCCTCCGCCGGCCAAGCCACAGAGAACATCCAAGGGTGCCCTCCCCAGGGTGCTCAAGGACACCCAGCAAGCACGAAGAACACTGGAGCACCCTCCCCGAACCGACCTCGATCTTGCACCTCGGTCCGACGGTACGCGAGACGGCATGGCGACCTTCTGCGGTGGCTTACGCGGGCCGCCCGCGCGGCACGCTAAACCGGGGGACGAGGGCGTTCCCGCGCGGTCTTGCGCGGGCCGCTTGCGCGCGAATGTCGGCGCAGGCGATCCCGTTTTTTCTGCGTCGCCCACACTGGAAGGGATCCCCCTTGCTGGAGGCCTCCGAAATCTGGCGGCGCGCACAAGGGGCAGGAAGAGGGGGGGGAGGCTTCTTAGAAGGAGGCTGCTACTTAGAAGGCGCGGGCCTTCCATCTACACGTGGGGCCCGCGCCTTCTAAGAAGCGGGGGTGCTTCTGAGAAGCCTCCCCCCCTCCCCCTACCCTCTGTGCGTGGCCGACAGATTGGGTCCGAGCAGATGGGTTTGGAGCATCGCGCTGCATCCCCAGTGCAACGCCGATGCACTGGCGATGTGCTGGCGGCGTCGGCGATGCATCGGCGGCGTCGGGGTGGACAAAGCAAGGCTCCACATCGAACCGCATCGCCGATGCATCGGCGATGCGGCGCGACCCTTCGACCCCATCTACTGAAGGGACCCTGGGACACACAAATAGATACACACACATGAAAATATTCCCCATGTTTTCCCACACTTCTGGGTTTTTTTTGTCTCCCCCCCCCACTTCCCATAGTTTCCCATATCTTCTGGGGAATCGACGATTTGTTGTGTCTGTGTGTGCTTCTTCCCCTCCTGAATCTGCTCCATCCCCATCCTCGAAGCCCAGCCTCACGTCACGAGGTCGTGGTTCGACTCGTGGAAGTGGCGCACCAGCAGCGCCCGGGAGCCGAAGACGCGCGCGCACCTCGGGCACTCGCAGGACGTCTCCCCGTAGAGCATCTGGAAGTGCGGGTCCTGCGCCATGGTGCCCCAGTCGCACGCGACCTGCAGGAGGTCGAGGGGGAACTGGGACACACACATAGATACACACAAATCAAAAGGATTCCCCAGATTTTCCCATATTTTCAGGGTGTCTGTCTTCCCCCCCACTTCCCATATTTCCCCATATTTTCCTGGGGATCGACGATTAATTGTGTCTGTGTGTTTCTTCCCCTCCTGAGAGGTCCCGATCGAACGTGAGACGAGCCAAACCAAGAGATTCGGGGACACGCCAGCCCGGGGCAGCGCTGACCCGCGTCAACCAGTGTGGACGCCCGAAATGGGTGCAGGAAAATGGGTGCAATACCCAATAACAAATGTTGTCCACAAAACCGGCAGCGGCCGCTGTTGGGCAGGCGGCGGCGCGAACAGCGAGTCCTGCTCAAAATGAACAGGAACTGCTGTCGGGCATGTTACCCATTCTTCCCGTTCCCACTTCGATCGTCCCGAGCCAGGGCCACGTCGCGAGCTCCGGCTGACCGCGCAGCACCTCCCAGACCCGGGTCAGCGGAGGGAGGGGAGGAGGAGGAGAAGGAGGAAGAGGAGGAGGAGGAGGAGGAGGAGGAGGAGAAGAAGGAGGAGGAAAAGGAGGAGGAGGAGGAGGAGGAGGACAAGGAGGAGGAGAAATATCGAGGAGGAGGAGGCGGAGGAGGAAGAGGAGGAGAAATATCGAGGATGAGGAGGACGAGGAGGAGGAGGAGGAGGAGGAGGAGGAGGAGGAGGAGGAGGAGGAGGAGGAGGAGGAGGAAGGGGGGTCGGTTCCACACGGCCCATGGCTCCCAGACCCAGATGGGCCAGAGGGGATCTGCGGAGATACGTTGAGTCGGCAGCGCGCCGGGGGAGGAAGTGAGCGAGGAGGAGGAGGAGGAGGATGAGGAGGAGGAGGAGGCACACAGGCACACAGACAATGAATGGGACCCAGCATGTCGCCAACTGCTCAACTGGTGCACAAACCTCGTAGCGGGCCAGCTCGCAATCGGGCTCTGGCTGGGTCTATCGAGGCAAGCCCCTCCTCTCGCAGTGCGCAGGCGCCACGAACGCACGGGCACTGCAGGCATCCAACTCCCGCGCTCGACGGGCTGAGGGCCTGCGTGCACTCGGGAATGAAATTGCTCAGCGGCTCCACGAGATCCGTTGCCACGGCTGCGGCCTTTGCCCTGCTGAGGTTGAGGAGAAGGAGGAGGAGGAGGGGGAGGAGGAGGAGGAGGAGGAGGAGGAGGAGGAGGAGGAGAAGGAGGAGGAGGAGGAGGAGGAGGGGGCGGACCTTCCCGAAGGCTCGGAAGTCCCTCGGGCCTCCTGAGACGTCTTCTGAACCTTCGCCGAAGGCGCAGAACACTTTCTCGGAAGGCCCGAGGGCCTCCGAGAAGCCCCGCCGCCTTCTGAGAGGGCCTTCTCCTTCTCACGTTCCCCCCGGGCGCACCGCCGAGTTTGGTTCGGGCGTCATAACTCGGGTCTCCGGCGGCCGTTCGGGACGATCCGGGCACCCCTGGAACGCCCTCGGTGAGGCGCAGCTGCTGGCAAGCATCCCGAGGCTGGAAAACCGCCGAGAACCGACGAACACGTCCGAAAGCCTCGAAGCCCGAACCTCAGCCCGAAAGCTTCCCCGCCCCTCGCTCGCCGCCGACTGGACCCCATCGCCTGCGCCCCGAGGGATGCGGCGATCTCCGGGCATCTTCTGACCCGGGTCAATCCAGACCCGGGTCAGCAGGAAACCAAAAGCTGCAGTGCAGGAAAAAAACTGCAACGCAGGTCTTCGCAACCCCGGGTCAGCCAATACGAGCGGCCGCCTCGCGGCCACGAGCGGCTCGCTAACCCGGGTCAGCCAGAGGGGGCCTTCGCAGGATCCTGCAGGATCTGGCGCTCTGGCTGACCCCCGTTTGCACTGACCCCCGTCTCTTAGGCCCCGAGATCTGTTGCTCGTGCTGCTCCAGCGCTCGAGCGCGCGCGGCTCCGGGCCGTCCCTTTGCTGCGGCGGCCGAGCCGCCGCAGGCCGCGGCGGAGAGCCCCTGCGCGGAGCGGCCCCCCCCTCGACCACGGGCCGCACTGGGGCGTGCCTTGGCTCGGCGGGAAGTTCGAGGACCGAGGAGGGGAGTTCGAAAAGTCCGAGGTCTTCGGGCGGTGTTTCATCGGCTTTCGGCGCTCTTCCAGCCTCGGGATGCGTTCCAGCAGCTGCGCCTCCCCGAGGGCGTTCCGGGGATGCCCAGATCGTCCCGAACGGCCGCCGGAGACCCGAGCTATGAACCCCAAACCAAATTCGGCGGCACGCCCGGGAGGAAGTGAGGACTTAAGGCCTTCTCAGAAGGCGGCGGGACTTCTCAGAAGCCCCCGCGCCTTCTGAAAAGTTGGTTGTGGCTTCGGGCAAGTTTAGGAAAACTTCTGAGAAGGCCCGATGGCTTGCGAGCCTTCTGAGAAGGCACGCCACCTCTCACTTCCCCCGGGGCTCGCCGCCGATTGACAGGCTCGAGCGGGCCGAAGAGTGCCTGGAGACACCTGGGCGGACGGGCGGCAACGCGAAGCCAGGACAGGGACAACAGCGGCGCCGCGACCTTCCCAGAGCGTTCCCGGCCGTTCCCGCGGCCTCGGCCTCGGCCTGCCAGGGAGGGGGAGGACGAGGGAGGAGGGAGGAGGGAGGAGGGAGGAGGAGGAGGGAGGAGGGGAGGGATGGAGGGGGAGGAGGGAGGAGAGGAGGATAGGAGGAAGGGATGAGGAGGAGGAGGAGGAGGAGGAGGAGGAGGAGGAGGAGGAGGAGGAGGAGGAGGAGGAGGAGGACACCCTCGAGTTGCGAAAAAATCGCGACGGGAAAGCTCTGGAACTGCTTCACACCTGTCCTAGCACCCCGCCGGATTGGGGGGCAGGATCGAGCAGAACATGCCACCGGCCCAAGATACCCCCAGGAGTTCCACGGAGGCCCCCACGGCCTCCAGAGCACCCCTCACGATGCCCAGAGAGCCCCAGAGGCTCCAAAATAGAACGGGCAGCTGGGGGGCACCTTGGGCCAGGGGCATCCTTAGCACCCCCCGAGGAAAAGCTCCAGCAAGGCATGGGCAGGTGGCCGGAGGGGTGCCACGAGGGTGAGCCGGGGGGGGCCGTGCTGGCCAGGGGTAGTGGTGGCAGGCCGCCCCCCTCCCAGACGTCCTGCCGCTCCAACTTGGCCGATGTGCGGCCGCGATGCCGCCCCGCGTCCGCTGCCAGGCCGCGTCAGCACAGGCTGGCCGCCCGGCCACTCCAGTCGAAGTTCCTTCTTTGACTACCTACCAGACCACCCCAACCCAACCCGAAGACCCGAATTTCGGGTTGGGGGGGGTAAGGGTTCCACACGTGTTTTTTCGATGTTTCCCGACCCCCCCCCAACTGGAAATCGAGGGTAAATCTGAGCCTTCGGGTTGGGTTGGGGTGGCTTGGTGGGTGGTGATTCTTCTGGAAGCCGGTGGAACTCCCATCTTGGATCGGCCAGGGATGTCACCGCCGCCCTCCTCGGAGAAGGAGTCCTCCAGGGTCTGCAGCCTCCCGGGCACACTCCTTCACGAACGCCCCCCACCGTGCGGCAGGGTCGCCTCGGGCCGACTTCGGCGCCGGTTTCTGACACCGCGGGGATGGTTCAGCCTTGAACGATCAGCCGTTTCCGAAGCGTCAGATCGTTCAACATGGACCGGTTCGCCGGCGGCGTTTCGAACGCCGGAGGCGGGGTCGCCGCTGGTCGACACGACGCGAGCCCACTGTAAGCCCCCCAGAATTGACGACGATCCTCTGGACTTTTTCGATCCGCGGGTCGAGAGCGCACCTCTTCCGGTCAAAGCTAAGCGGGCCGCGCACAGCTTCAATGATCCTCAGGACACGTTGGGGCGCCAACGTGTGCCTGTCCGTCGAAGCCCTCTCGGTACGACGCGGGCGGTCCAACGATCCACCGGTGGGCCTGAACGGGGCCACACGCACACACTTTTTTCGGGGATGGACAGACCCCCCTTTAGTAAAACTCGGTTCGGTGAAAACGACCTGAGGCCCAAACCTGGCGGGCGCAAGCCTGGAGAATAACGGCCACGGCGCCATCTCGAGAACCGAAAACGGACAATTCACTAATCGACGTGTCACTGTGGGGGGTTCTGTCCACCCCCGATTTTTGCTCCGTGGCCGGTTCGTCCGACCCAGCGAGGCGGACAGCGGCGCGCGCTGAGAGTGCCTCCACGCCCTGTCGGCGTGAGGCAGCCGACGAGCTGCGCGCGCACGCAGAGGCGGCAAGGCACGACGGACAGCCCGCCCAGGGGCGGAACAGCGGAAGAGAGTGGCAAGCAGTGTCGAAGAGTGCCGCGGCAATCCCAAGGCGTGAGGAAGGAGGAGGGGTAACACCACACACACACACACACACACGCACACGCACACGCACACGCACACACGCACACACAGACAC